ATAAAGGAGGGCACATGAGGTCACGATGCGAGGACAGATAGAGCATATGAGAGTTAAGTGTGGACGGAGTGGCAGGTCGCAGATGAGGCGAGAGTGTAGAGGGTGGTGTGGAGTAGGCGTGGCAGAGAGTGGGGAGCATGTGGGCTTGGTGGGGGAAAGCAGCAAATTTCCGCTTGCACCGTATCGTCCAGGGGTGTATCATTTCAACGTGACAAACTCTCAGGGTTCCTTCTTCCGTGCGATATCGTGTGGGACATTCTGGCAAAGGAGTTTTACAAGATCAAGTGAAAGGAAAATAGAGCTCAACGCGAGAAGAGATGCGCATTCCGAGGCTGAGATTCTTATTCGAAGGCTAACGCAGACATCACCATTCAAATTCGCCCTGGCCTTTGTGGAAAACGTATCTATTTGAGTCAGCGGCTGTGCCTCGGTCAAAGTCAAGGCGTTTGGAACTTACTCCTTGCCGCCTGTGGTTAGGATACCATCCTTCAGAGTACACTTCCACTTGTTCTTGACGCGCTGCACTTTATCGTATGTGCAAAGCATGACCTGTCCGACAGAATCTTCAGCGTCATGATCCTCGGCAACCAAGTCGTCAGGGTCGTCGAGGTCAGAATTGATCGCATCTTCATCGTCTTCCTCCCTGTCATCATCGCCGCCAGGACCATCAAACTGCGCCTGAAGCTGTGCAGAGTTCGCGACCGAGTGGACTTCGACAGCAGCGTGTGCATCAGTAAGACGAGGTTCCCGTCTCGATGTCGAGGACGAGGATTGACGCTCATCTAGAGGCATAAGAAGTCCTCCTCCCTCAAATTGTAGCATGCGCTGTCTCAGATGTCCGCGTAGAAATCGATCACCCTCGCCGTTCTGGCGTTCTGCGGCCTCGCGTCGCCGTGCAACCTCCGCTTTCCAGTCTGATAAAGCATCATCACCTGCACCATCTGTCTGAGCGTTAGTCATATTGGGTTGGGGCGCGGATGGATAGCCTGGCTCTTGTTTGATTGCTGGCGTCTGGCCATTGGACACCTGTGGTGCGTACGGAGGACGATGCTGTCCTGGCATTCCCATAGATGCTTGAGACTGAGCTTGCAGCTGACTAACCGAGCTAGCTGCTGCGGCACCGTATCTTTGATGAAGCATATTGGCAGCACGTTCACGTGCCGACTGAGGATTCGAGGAAGGAGCCGGCATCATGTTGCCCATGTGAGGCATTCCCGGTTGGCCATTGAGACCCGGTTCGGTCTTTATGTGAGATTGCTGCCCCATGTGCACGGGCGCAGGTGCTTGCATCGGAGGTGCATTTCCCGGTAGGGACTGAGGATGAGGTTGTTGGGGCGGAACATGTTGTTGCTGTGTGTGCGGCGAAGGTGCGGGTCGAGGAGCGTTGGAAGGCACGGGAGCTGTAGGAGGGAGTATTTGGTTTTGAGTCTGAGGAGGGGCGGGCTGTGGTGGTGAAGGATCCCAAGGGAAGTGGGCAACACCAAGCGACGAGAGTTTTTTCTGCCAGCTCTGTATTTGAGGTGTAGTTTCAGTAAAGATGTCATAGAGACGATAACAATGGAAAAGGCATCAGAAAGAGAGAGACAAATATCATATAAAAACAAAAGTAACATTAGATGACGAGATAGCGCCGTTATCGTGAACTGTAAGTGGGCGAGGGCCTTGGCGGACTAACCGCGCCCCTCTCGAAAACGGGCCACAGAAGCGGGTAAAAGCGGCGCGGTATAAAGAGAGACTCAAAAGCTGGTGTTCCCCCCGGAAGCAGCACCGCCTCCCGCAATCCTCGGACCCCCGCCTTGGGCCGGGATCGATCACGACAGAACACCGCTCCCTGGGAAATCAAGGGCATGATGATGGTTTTCCATCAAAAACAATAATCACAGAATGAGAGATGTCTTGAACCAACCTTTCGCAGGTCTAATAGCGTCTGCTGGTCGACACCACTTTCCTCGAAATCGACCTGAGAAGCATCGCAGACCTCCTGAATGACACGGTCAAATACCGTGCCCTGCACATCATCTGGTATAAGCCAACATCCTCACAAAGTATGGGCTGAACGAATGGAGATTGTCACTTGGAGAAGAAAAGGAGAAGAAGAGACAGGGGATGGCTCAAGATCTCCACAGTCTCCCAGGTCAGGTCAGGCAGGGCTGTTTGAAGATAGCACTCACCACCTGCTGGTTAGACATGGTTGCGGCGATAAGAGAGACTCAAGAATGAGAAGACGTAGATCAGAGCTTCTTGTTTCGTTTCTTTCTGTTCTCTATACTAGCAAGTCCAGCAGGGAATGCGTTGTGTTCCCCTGGTCTATCAGAAGTGAACCTCCGTCGCAGCAACGGTCAGTTGCCACGGCCAAAATGCGACCGGTCAACCCCGACGGCTAATGACACCTAAGCAACTCCAAGTTATGAAACCGTCCTTGTGGGTAGTATATGTTCCTGCAACGAGTATGAATCTGAAGATCCGAAAAAGAGCGAGAAATCGGCACTCTGGTGGGGAATTAGCAGGTAGAGGAAGACGGCAACGCAGCGTACTGTAGGGTTCTGGTTGAGGTCAAAGTCGCTCTCCCCGGGCGAAATCCGTCCTCCTCTCGGCCTGCTTAGTAATCTCCACCCACTCACTAGTGAACCACGACCACAACAGGAGAGGGATGAGTGCTTCACTTCATCCTCATCTTCTGTAGCATCCATAATTCACTAACTCTCCTGTCAAAGTAATGCAGTGAGCAAAGCAATTAAGATACTACTAGTCTCTTTGAATTAAGTGGCCTTGTCATCATCTTCCCATCATCAGCCTGAGCAATGTCTGATGATATACTCCGAACAGGCTGCATGATAGATATGACAGGCTCACTACAAAGTGAAGCAGATCATACAAATCAGTGATTTAGGTCTTATGTCAATAGCATTAGTGCCCATACTCTATACAGAAAATCAAAAAAATAAGAAGTCAACCCCATCTCAACGCCTGCCGCATGTGAACTCCTCCAACAAGTGTACAGCATAAAAGTCCGGATGTAAAAGCAAATCAAATTTTCGCAGAAAAGCAGACATCCATCTACCGAATGGTCATAGACTTTGTCATCTGAGCTTTGCTTCCAACGCCACCTTCCCGAGACGCCGAGGCACTGGTACCAGGCTTGCGCTCGAAGATCTTCCAGAATTTCAAACTCTCATCAGCAGCGGCAGTGGCCAGCAATTGACCGTCGGGGCTCAGGCAGCTGTGAAGAACTCGTGTCTCATGAGCCGGAATCTCTACGTTACGGACCAGGGTGGGATAGCTCCAGATACTCAGAGAATTGTCAGGAAATCCGCTTGAGCTGACAATCTCTCGGTAGTGGTTGCTCCATCTCAAGCTGGTGACCTGTGAGCCAGTATCGATACTGTTGGTCCGGGCACCGGTGGTGGTGTTCCAGAAGTGGATGTGACGGTCATACGAGCCGCCACCAGTCGCGAGTAGGTTCAACTGCCAAGGGCACCAACTCAGAGCTTTCACAGCCGCACGGTGGTTTGTCTTGGTAAACTTGGGAGCACTCAGAGACCGCGCATCCCAGATGTTGACCAGGTTGTCATTACCGCCGGTGGCGAGTTGAGCCCCATCGGATCGCCATTCAAGACCACACACTTCTGAGGTGTGGGAGACGAGCTCGGCAACCTTGTGTTGAGCGATGCGAACATCGTGGTTGAAGACGAGACCGCTGCGCGCGCCAGTCGACAATGTGTGCTTGGACCAGCCCATGACGCCGACACGGGAGTCATGACCAAACATGCTTCGGAGCTTGGTGCCTTCCTCCACGTCCCAGATCTGCACCTCTCCCGTGCCGAGACCAACACCAACATATGCGCCATCGCCGCTCCATTTGACACTGCTTACATATGTGTCTGATGAAGTTTCTAACAAGCAACTGACAGATCCAGAATCCGCAGACCACACATAGACATTGCGCTCAAGACCAATAGCAACCTGGTTGCCAGAGCTCCAGTCCAGCAAATTGAGATAGTAGTCATCAAGAAGACCAGGAGCGTCCAATACACGCTCAGGAGCGGTCTGGACTCTGCGACGGAACTGAGAACCTTTGGCTTTGCTTGACTTCAATGGACGATTGTACTGTGCTCTCAAGTCAATCGGCTTTGACGATTCCGGAGGCGGTGGCTTGAAGGCGAGAATGCGGGTGTTCAAATTGACGCCGCAGGCGTCAGCCAGTGACGATTCGTAGGCGACAGCATCAGGTGCGGGCTTGGTGTACGATGTTGTTGAATTGTCATTGTCCTCGAGACCGAGATTTTCAAGAGCAGCAGTCAGATCATCGTCGGCTCCTCGACCTCCGATGTCGAAGGCGCTCGCGGCACTTGCAAGGACGGCGGATCCTTCACTGCTACCCGTCTTAGGCCGCTGGTTCTCCTCCGGCTTGGCAGTCCCAGCTGTTGTCAGTCCTTCACTTGCGGATCGGTTGGGGATGAATCTGTCACCAGCATTGTGAGCGATGCGAACGGTGGTCTTGCCCGACCTTGTGCGAGCAGAAACTTCTTTCCGCACTCGCTCTTTCGATGATGGAGACTGCCCCGACGAGGGACCTGTGCCGGTCAAGGACCAGTCTGAAACACCAAGCTCGAGATGCCTCGGTGACTTGCGCGTCCTCGCAATGTTGGATTTGGGAGATTCGCGGTAAGTTTTTGATGTCTTCGCGATCGATTTAGCAAAGTATGAGGACAGATTGCCGCCGTAGACCGATCGGCTGTTGTCTTTCACGGCATCTGCCGATTGACGAGGAGGGGTGAAGGGAGATGAATGATTTGATGCCACACTCGCTCTTCGTGTGTGGGGAGATGGTGTGAGAGGCATGCGGCCGCCAGCGGTCTTGGATGAAAACAGTCCATGGTGGACCGGAGTCGATATCAATGGAGTGGCCATCTCTGTGATGTAGCGATCTCCAAGGAGTGATATACTAGAACGTGGTCAAGAGAAGAAAATGCTTCTTGAACTCAATTGCCAGATCCGGTCATTCAATGAGGATGTAGGTCTAAGACGCAACGAAATGGTAGTGTATGCAAGTATAAACCGACAAAACGAAAATATACTATGCAAGCAAATATCAGATACCAGCGTAACTGAGAAAAATGCGAAGGGAAGATGGATTCTGGGAGCAGCAGAGCAGAGATCCAGGGGAATAAATACAGCGTATAGTTCTTTCTCCCATGGCAACGGTTACCTGAGGTACGGCTGTTCTAATACTGATTGGGTTAGCGTCCACATGACATGCGGCTCTTTCCTTTTTTCTTGGGCGTCGATCGTCTTGGCGCTTTTTTCACTTTTCCTTCCCTGTCGTCATCACAAAATCCTGTCCGGGACCCGATCGACAGATTCTTGTGCTGCTTCTAAAATACAATTGGATTCTGTTGACTTTTCAGAATCTTCCCATCATACCACGGCTGTGTGGGTCAGCAATAGTACTTCGCCCTTTTGGAGAGCTTGATGGCGCGGCAACCGGCCTCCACTATTACTAGTAATACTACGTCCAACCCGGGCTTCACCCAATTCCGCGAGGACCCACCGTCTTGGATCAGATCATCAAGGCTTCCAAATCCGATGACTCCCACTTCCTCAGTTCATCAGAAACCACAGAGCGCGTACCTCATGCCGACTAGTCCAGCTAGAGGCCGCCGTGGTAGCACGGATTATCGCCCCGTCATCCGCAAAGCCCAAGGCAATGTTCCTGCATGTTTGGTTAATGCATCCGTGACGTATTGCAACAATGACCAGATTTATGCATTTGGAGGCTTCGACCAGTTCACAGACGAAGGTTGATACTGTTTTTATTCCGACAGTTTAATTGAACCTCTGCACCATCTCTCATGCTAATGCTTCAAACTCAAATAGTTTATAACCATGTCCTGAGGTTAGACTTGAAAGCACTTCGTTGGGAACTTGTGGATAACTATGGCGATATTCCCGGTGTTCGCATGGGTTGGTCGATTCACAGCAGATGCCTTTCTTGATCTCCGCTAATTCTAATTCTTGATACTCTTTCTAGGACACACTGCTACTCTGTATCAAGGCGACAAACTCATTGTCTTTGGGGGAGAAAATGAACATCGCGAATACCTTTCTGATATCGTCATCCTCGATATCTCCACCTCGACCTGGACTCAACCGGAAATTCGTGGACAAATACCGCGAGGAAGGGCGCGCCATGCTGCTGTCATTCACGACGAAAAGCTCTTCATTATAGGCGGTGTTACTGGAGAGAACAATGTGATTCTCGATGATCTTTGCTACCTTGACCTGAAAACATGGACCTGGTCCCGGAGTTGGAGATTCACAGCCCGTTTCGACCACACCGCCTGGGTTTGGGGGGACCGTCTTTGGATATTCGGAGGCCTCGACCCGGATATGGAACGCACAACTGATGTTTGGTGGCTTGATCTCAAGGGCTCGCCGTTTCTTGGAACGCCGTCTTCGCAAGGTACCGTGGATTCCCCTGGAACACTCAACAGGATGACTCATAGTCCAGATGCGGTGTATAGTAGTCCAACACAGCAGCTGCCCGGCCGGTCCGGTAGCTACGCGGCAAATTCCGGGAGTGTACAAGTTCGCAACTCCAGTCGACGAAAGCCAATCGCCCCAGGAGCTATCTCTTGTCATAAGTTTCGATCCGGTCCTTACGTACCTGCATTGTGTTCTGGAACCCACTTTCAGGCTCATGCATCCGGTGTCCTCCTTGATCTGATCACTCCTTCCGAAACAGTCAGGACGTATGAGTGCAAGTTGTCGTCTTTGGAGCTTGACACTCTTCGTTGGCAGAAACTAGCTGACGGGCAAGAGATTTTCAAGCCCGGGTACCGCTGGCATTATTGTACAGTCAACGCTAGTGGCACCAAAGCCTGGCTGCTGGGGTGCAGCCTTGACGTTGGCAACACTCCCGGCACTAGTGATGAGAATCATATGAGCGAAGTGCTTTGCATTGACCTGGAAAAATACGGTCTGCTTGGCAATGAACTGGCGACCCTCTCTCCTGATCAAAGCCGGACTTGGGTATCGGAAAGGTCAGGACTGCCGCCCATTTCTGGGCTTGGTGCAGATCTCTCCGCTGTCTTCGACCAACGTCCAGAATCTGGCAGTGATGCTGACTTCATCATTACCGCAAATCTGGATGACATCGAAAATCCGGACGATGTGGCAGAAGAGGCTCCTCCAGCAGAGTCTCAGCCGGCTTTCCTGCCGCCGAATGCTCCCACTTCGCCTCCTATCCACGTACATCGGATCATCCTGCAGCTTCGGTGGCCGCATTTCAAGCGACTGTATTCCGCGCAAATGGCAGAGTACCACTCTAAGAGAATGCACATTCCTGAACCCTACTCTGTCGTCCGTGCGTTCCTCTACTATCTGTACACAGACAGCATATCAGGGCACCCGGAATATTGCTCCAACATCATCGACGTTGCGGGTATGCTCGTCATGGCGAACCTATATGACATGCCAAAGCTGCGCCTGCTCTGCGTCAATCGCTTGAGCCGCGAGTTAGATGTGGAGAACGCGGCCATCATCTGGGAACGGGCTGGGCGGACCAATGAAGATTGGCTGATGCGGCGCGCTGCACAATTTTGCCTCAGCCACTGGGGCCGCATTGTCCGGACCGACGGCTTCAAGTCCCTCAGTCGTCAGAGCTTAATCGAGCTGTGCGAGGTGGTCGACATGGAAGGTCGCATTGTTGCCGGACCCGAACTGGAGCTAGTGGGTGCTCTCGGAGCGGAGGGGCTTGATCTCAACAGGGATACCAAGCGATCCCGGCCTTCTATTGGGGGCGCTATGACTGATGACGTGGATGATCTCGAAGGGGACGATGTGGATGGAATGGAGATTGCATGAACTTCGGGCTTACAATTCATTCAAGCACTGCACCTCGGGAAACCTACCGTGCAGGAGCGGACACGCCAACCATCCTAACTTCAATGACTATACACGACTTTTCTATTCCACTACTAGATGGGCGTCAATTTGGGTTTTCGAGGATTCAAAGGCACGGATGAGTTTTTCTAGCGATGAGCATCTTAGGAGTCATGGGACGGACCATTATGGGTACAGCTGTGTATGATATTTGACGAAACAACCAGCACAGATATGCCAGTACCTTTCTTTCTTACTACTGTTGAACTAATATGTTACAAATATGTACATCGAAACACACCAAAGTCCAACATACTGACAACCGGTTGACGGCCCGCCGAGCCGTTGCTGTTGCAGTGCCTCAGGTGCCCCGCCAGGCACCAACTCACCGGATGTCAGGCCTTGCCCTCTTCGACTATTTGTTCTCCACTCTGGACGCCATTAATCTTCTGCGCCCCACACCAGCATTTCTCCCGGCGCAGCCTTCGCTTCCTGGACTATTTACAGGGTTTCCCACTCTTGGGAGCTATACTGTAGTATGGTTGGACCAAGACACTGGGGACTGGATGAACCGTGATGCAGTCCGTTGATTCTCCAAGTCGGTTCCCCGCTCACCCCTCCATCGCTTGATGGAGAGCTCTTGGAAGGCCAGGAGGACAGACTTAAATATCCGTCCATTCCATTGCCCTCGGTCATCCTGGAGAACAAATCTCAAGAGGTACCGGTGCTTCTTTCAGTAACTGTCTCATCCATTGAACGGAGATAAAGCCAGCTGTTCGAATCCATTCACTTGAGATCCATTCCATCATGGGCTCCACAACTACCTCGACTCTTCCTCCGGACTTTCTTTGGGGATTCGCAACTGCGAGGTATATCCCAATCTTATGTATTTTCTTGTGCTGGGCTTTTAACTAATTGTCGGCGCTATTTCGTGAATTAGTTATCAGATTGAGGGAGCTGTGAATGAAGATGGACGCGGCCCATCTATTTGGGATACTTTTTGCAAAATTCCCGGCAAAATAGCCGGTGCAGCCTCTGGCGAGGTGGCTTGCGACTCGTACCACCGCACCCACGAGGATATTGCCCTGCTCAAGGAGTGCGGTGCAAAGGCATATCGTTTTTCTATTTCATGGTACGTCTTTGCACAGCCGCAAGCGCTGATTGAGACGACAGATTTTGGCTGACACTTCATCTCTCTTCATAAAAATGCAGGTCTCGTGTCATCCCTCTCGGTGGCCGGAATGACCCCATCAATGAAAAGGGTCTCCAGCACTATGTCAAGTTCGTCGACGACTTGCTCGCGGCAGGTATTACTCCTCTCGTTACCCTCTTCCACTGGGATCTTCCCGATGAGCTTGACAAGCGCTACGGTGGTCTTTTGAACAAGGAAGAATTTGTTGCCGATTTTGCCAACTATGCTCGCATCATGTTCAATGCTTTCGGCTCAAAAGTGAAGTACTGGATTACTTTCAATGAGCCCTGGTGCAGCAGTGTGCTCGGATACAATGTGGGCCAGTTCGCCCCTGGCAGAACCAGCGACCGTACCAAGAGTCCCGTGGGCGATGGCTCCCGCGAGCCCTGGATCGTCGGCCACAACATCCTTGTCGCTCACGGAGCGGCGGTGAAGATTTACAGAGAAGAATTCAAGCCCAGAGACGGTGGTGAGATTGGCATCACATTGAATGGTACGAGCTCTGGCCTCCATGTGCATGGCCCGATTGTGTGGTTGCTGATCAAATTTCAGGTGACTGGGCTGAGCCTTGGGACCCTGAGAACCCCGCGGACGTCGAGGCCTGTGACCGCAAGATCGAGTTTGCTATCTCCTGGTTCGCTGACCCCATCTACCACGGCAAGTACCCAGACAGCATGATCAAACAATTGGGTGACCGATTGCCCACCTGGACCCCCGAAGATATTGCCCTCGTCCACGGCAGCAACGACTTCTACGGTATGAACCACTACTGCGCCAACTACATCAAAGCCAAGACCGGCGAGCCGGACCCCGAGGACGTCGCCGGCAACCTGGAGATCCTCTTGAAGAACAAGAACGACGAATGGATCGGTCCCGAGACGCAGTCGCCCTGGCTGCGACCCCACGCCATTGGGTTCCGGAAGCTGCTGAAATGGCTCAGCGACCGCTACAACCAGCCCAAGATCTACGTTACTGAGAATGGCACCAGTCTCAAGGGCGAGAACGACCTCTCGGTTGACCAGATTCTGAACGACGAGTTCCGTGTGCAATATTTCCGCGACTATATCGCCGCCATGGCGGACGCCTACACGCTGGACGGCGTGAATGTCCGCGCTTACATGGCGTGGAGCTTGATGGAGTAGGTTTATCTCTGATTCAGACGTACCGGACCAGTTGGCTGACATATCATCTTCTCCGTGCAGCAACTTCGAATGGGCTGAAGGCTACGAGACCAGATTTGGCGTCACCTTCGTCGACTACGAGAACGACCAAAAGAGAATTCCCAAGAAGAGCGCCAAGGTCATCGGTGAGATCTTCAACCAGTACATCGAGAAGGCTTAGGTCGAAGGCATTGTGATCTGGCAATGGGTGAACATATCACTGTATGACACGAAGCTTAGGATGATATTGCGTGTATATAAAATTAACAATTCATGATTTCACAAGGTCTGAGGGAGCTTTCATCACATCCACCTTCCCCTCAGAAGATTAATGACCAGCCATCTGATAGTAGTACTTTCCAACTAATTTGTTACTTTATTAGACATGGAGCTTGCTCCGTGCCACATACGTTTGTCCCGTATCTATCATCGTCACGTGGAAAACACCTGGCTCCACCGCTCCACTCTGCATTTAGCCTACAGTCCGCAGTTTCCACTGTAACACTTATCCCTGTCCCCTTATCTGACTCGGACAATTTCAGAAGCGCAAGTGATCCAGGCGAGCATCCAAGACAACGAATACAGTCATCATGAGAACATGGCATACAAGTTGAACTACATGATTGTTTTGAACATCATCAATAATAGCCTCATAATGCATAACGAAAGTTCTTTGACTCCATATCGGTCAAGTCCTTGAACCCATCAAGAATGGCGGCCTCCTCGCGCAGCGTGGGAGTATCTTCTGGGGACGCCTTGCGATCTCTCCGCAGATTCTCCCACTTCATGTATACATACGAAGCGAGTGCCAGGACAATCATGGTAGCATAGCAGATGAGCAGAGCTGTCAAAGCGGAGTGGTACCGGGGCGCTTCACGGGCGAAGAAGATGTTGGCGCCAGCGACGTTGCCCGCTGCATACATGGTGAACCACATGCCATTGGCCATCGAGCGCTTGGTATGTCCCGCGACGTTTGTCGCTAAGAGGTTCCAAGACACAATGACAGGTGCGCCGATGATGTACTGCAGCCAGGTGCAGCCGACCAGAGTCCATCTGTGGTCAAGGCTGGTGAATCGGATGCCGAGGAGGCCGCCGAACGGGATGAGGCATACCACGGCGAGGACGATGCAGCGCGAGTCGCGGACGTAGGTCGAAACCAGGCCGCAGATGGGCACCACGACAGCTTCGATGGCCCCCGTGGGGAGCTGGAGAAGGGTTGCGTAGATGCCGCTGAAGCCGAAGCCCTTGATGAGCGCCGAGGCGAAGTTCGATACGCCGCCGTTGATGACACCGCAGCCAATTCCAATTCCCAAGCAGAAGAGGACCTTGGGGTCGTATAACGCTTCGAGGGCTTGACGCGGCTTGATCTGCTTGGTTTTGACCCCGATCATGTTCTCTGATACTCGCTGAACAGCCACAACGCGTTGCCGGTGAGTGAGGAACTTTGCGGAGCTCGGTGAGTCCGGCATCAGCCAGAGAAAGAGACAACCAGTGGCGAAGTTCATCAATCCGATCGTGAGGAAGATGAGCTGCCAGCTGTGAAGTTTGGTATTATGAGAATGACCGAGTCCGAAACCGAGGAGCGCTCCGACCATCGTGGCCATGCCGTTGCCAGACAGCCAGAGACTCATACGCAGGGGCTGTTCAGACCTCTTGTAGAACATGGAAGTGAAGTTCATCACTGCATTAGTCAGTCTCTGAATCCCGGTGATAAATGGCAATTTATTGAAACTTACTGCACGGGCTTACGCATGCCTCCGCCATGCCCAACAGGAATCTCAGGACTAGGATACCGGCATAATTCTTAGCGCCGATATGCGCAATAACGAGGCCGGCCCAAATCATGATGACTCCACCCATATACTTCGCTAGGGGCAATCGTTGGATCAGGAGATTTGCCGGGATGGCCCAGAACAGGTACCTTATCAGGGTTAGCGAAGTCCGCTCTATTGTAAGAGGAAAGTTCTGAGGTACCCAAAGTTGAAAATAGCAGCAACCCAAGAGTATCTCTGGCCTTCTAGACCGAGATCCGGGATGAGAGTATAGGCCGAGGCGTAATTGAGCGAAAGCTTGTCTATGCATCACAAATGAGCGGGTCCCTTCAGGCATTGTCCGAGTGAATGAGCGTGTCTAACCCAGAAACTGCATGACATATGTTATGTATAGCTGCGCAGGCGAGTCATCAGTGACTGATACGCAACCAGGATAGACAGTGGATCCGATGGGGACATACAATCGGCAAGATCCTGCGATCTAACATCTTGCGCACTCGGATCCCTTCTTCCTCCAGTTCCTCTGGCGATAATTGCTCGACCTCCGCATAAAGGTCTGCTCCAATGTCTCTAATCTCCCCAGGTGCAACGTCATCCTTCTTCTCCACACTGTCGGAGCGTCGCACATCCATCTCGGCTTTCTTAGTATCAGTCATAGTTGCAAGATCAACCGGCTTGGAGTGCAGGTAAACGGCGTAATGTCGAAAGTTGACGGGTCCGATCTACGCATGCCTATAGAATTCTTCCTGTCTGTTCAGATGACTTAAATATGACCTGAGAAGATACTGCAGAGTATCCTGTTATCAGCTGCTGGTAGATAACACGCAGGTACTCTATCTCTTGGCACCCATATCATGCTTTGTTATCGTAAACTGTTGTGCATGCCGATTGCCAAGCTTCATTCTATGGCGAGTCCAGGCAATCAGCGGACAAAAGTCCGATTGTCCCCTCAGTTGGTGTGGTTAAGATTCTGGAGCCCGCAGGCCGAAGATGGCCCGATTGGATGGGCGTCATAGGGCGTCGCACTTGTAGGATACTGTGACAGCGATCATAGCGTTTGCTAGCAAATTAGGGTTAGATAGGTAGAGCGGACAATGTCCGCTTGCTTCATCATCCTGACTTGGTTCTCCGCAAACAAGGGGAAGTATCGCGTGAGCTGCTGGTGGACCATCATTACGAGAACTCCACTAAGGGATGTGACATTTCAATGCGATCAATAGAGGGTCAGAGATCATGAAACGTAGCCTTTCCCCACCCCAGTAAGGCATTGAAGATATAAGCCGCTGGATGCGCCTCGTTGTTGGGCTATCAGACCAAGGTGTCACCAGCAGTTTTGAGCAACCTATGCCGACAATGCCTGCAATGAGGGTTGTAAGTCTTCGAAATTGAATTGGTCGCCAGGTTTGTTGCTGACGAAGAAGATATAGCAAAGATCTAGCGGAAGCACAGCAGAGACATTCAGCCTCATCGATGCTAGCATCTCGGATCTTCAACACGCCCTGAGTTCGGGATGGACTACAAGTGTTGACTTAGTAGCCCGATACCTCCGGCGGATCAGTGTATACGACGCTTCCGGCCTTACTCTCAGTGCTATCCCTATCCTGAATCCATCTGTCTTCGAAGAAGCAGCCGCTTCCGACGCTCGACGAGCCGCGGGATTACCAATCAGAGCTCTGGAAGGCATTCCCTATCTGGTCAAAGACAATATCAAGGTCAAAGGGATGACAGTCGCCAGCGGATCTCCAGCTTTTGAGAATCTCGTTGCTACTGAAGATGCAGCATGCGTTCAAGTTCTCAAAGAGGCAGGCGCGGTCCTGCTAGGCCGGACGAACATGCCTGCTATGGCATATGGGGGGATGCAGCGTGGCTCCTATGGCCGCGCGGAAAGTCCATACAACCTGGAGTATCTGACGGCGGCCTATGCATCAGGATCCTCCAACGGGTCAGCCACCGCTACCACTGCCAATTTCTGCGCCTTCAGTTTGGGGACGGAGACTGTGTCATCTGGCAGATCTCCCGCCTCGAATAACGCCATCATCGCGTACACCCCGTCAAGGGGATTAATACCTCTTCGGGGAGTGTGGCCTCTGTATCCAACTTGCGATGTTCTCGTGCCTCATACCCGAACCCTTTCCGATCTCTTTCGTGTCCTCGATGTGCTGGCAGTCGCTGACGGGACTCCTCATTGTGACCTCTGGAACGAGCAGAAGGTAATAGCCCTTCCCTCAATTGCGAACATTCGCCCGCAGCACTTCGCGGTGCTAGAAGACGCATCGTCCCTCAGAGGAAAACGAATCGGGGTGCCTTCCATGTATATCGGCGGCGCGTGTCCTCTTCCCGACAAAGTATGCACCAGACCCTCCATCCTCAAACTGTGGGAGGCGGCAAAGAGTGCTTTAGAAGCCTGTGGTGCAACGGTAGTGGAAGTCAACTTCCCACTAGTCACAAAATACGAAGCGAAAGCGCATACCGGACAATTGGTTAACGTCGATGGTCTTCCGGAGGGCTGGCCTGCGGTAGAGAGGTGTCAGCTCGTCGCTCATGTTTGGGACGATTTCTTATCCAGGAACGGACAACCCGGGCTGAACTCTCTTTCCTGCGTCGATCCCGACTCGATATTCCCTCTCGCACCGGGCTCCCTTCCCGGGACTCCTGATGCAGCGAACAGGATCAATTGGCATAAGATGGTCGAGTACCCTAAGACAAAACACGAGTCCATCTCTCAAATTCCAGGTCTAACACAAGCTCTGAATGCTCTTGAGAATGCTCGAAAAGAAACATTGGAGAAATGGATGGATGATCATAATCTAGACGCAGTTGTGTTTCCCGCGAATGGCGACGTGGGACGCGCCAACGCAGATACAGACCCCGATTCTTCTCTCTTCGCCTGGAGGAATGGTGTCAAATACTCCAACGGCAATCGGCCCATGCGTCATCTGGGAGTGCCGACGGTGTCAGTGCCTATGGGGTTGATGGACGACACGGGGATGCCGGTAAACCTGACCTTTGCAGGCAAGGCATACGATGATAACAATCTCCTTCGATACGCGTTTGCTTTTGAGCAGGCGACCAAGAATCGTGTACTGCCGCCTCTTGTACCTGAGCTTGACTCTGATGTCATCAGGAAGAGAGTCTCAAGCAATCATCTGGGCGAGCGTGGCCAAGCAGTTGCCTTACCCCAGATCGCAGTTGTGACGCAGTCAAAGGAATTTTCAGATTCAATGGTACGGCTTGAGATTCGAGGCACTCTGTACATATCTGATGGGGAAAATTTGGAGCGCCTCTCGTGCTTTGTCAATGGGACCCCAGTTGATATCAAAGTGGAAGGAGAGACATGGAGTTTCACCGCGATATATCCAGCCTCACCCCGTGACAACACGTGGTCTCGATGGACAAGCCCAGCTTCCACACAGACAATCGTCGTCGTTGTTGCTTATATGGATACTAGTCTTGCGAACGGCAAGTTGCTTCTCCTGTAGCTAGATCGTTCTGAACTTAGTGACAAGAGAAAATACTGCGAATCTAAAATCTCGCGTCGGCACTTCATTCTGCGTAATTATCCAAAGCTGTCTTTGTATATCATGTCTTCAATCATTCCCAGAACTGCCTTGTGCAAGTATTGTTTTTTAAGCTGTACCCAGCATCTTTCCATCTCCTGCACGCTACAACCGATTCCCTGCCGCTGTACAAACTCCTTTGATATCCAATTGGCCCTCTCAATGAGAAAATACAGTGCCGTTTTATAGGGTACTGCATCTTTCCAGCGGTCTGCAAAGTGTGCTATGGTTTTCAGGCAAGCTTCCAGCGCCTCCAGTGCCTGCCGTATGAATCTCTCTTCCCGCACTGTCACCCAGAACAGGTAAAGAAGCATGACCCCGGCTCGAAATTGAAACACAAGCTATTCCAGCAAGTTAGTATCTACTACTCAGAAGGCCATTGCCAGAGGTGAATACTTACTGCAGACCAAGTATAGCACATCACCTGCCCGTCCTCCTGCAGTTGTCTGAAATTGAGGCAGACCTCAACGATCGCGCAGAGAACGTCCTCGATGTCCTTGCACTTGAGACGATCCCTCTTTTCTTGCATTAGGATGATAATGCTATAATCGTAGAGATTTGCCATCCAGAGAGGATGAAGGTAGGTACAGGGGCCTCCCTCCAGTCCATATCGGGGTATGTCCTTCCTCCAGGTGTCCAATGCTTTTTTCAATAAATCATCTCGCGGCACCTCACCGGATTTGGTCTGTTCAGATTCGTCTTCCAGGTAACGTCGGATGTTGGCCTGGATCTTACGCAGCCGGAAGAGGTGGCTCAGCGCAGTGTTTGAGGTCGAAGACGACGGGACACCGTTGCTGATTGTGAGCATCTGTTCAGAAAAGTCAGAACATGACTGAAGAATCAGGAACGCGATTGAAGACTCCTACATCGTCATCAATCGCCTTGTAAGCTGCAGAGACTGGTCTATCCCATCCAGACACGATTATCTCGTTCAACATGTAGCAAGTAATGAAAAGAGACTCGGTGAAGAATTCACCCGTACATGTTGACACTCCCAAATCGTTACCGCTTTTATCCACAAACGTATGTCTGCGGATTTCCGCTATCGTCGCAGTGCAAAAAGGAATTATGGAGGAAACTGTCGTCGATATTTCCTCCGCTGATGGACAATGAAGCGCATACAGTATCATAAGCACCGAGGCTTGTATCTGGAGTATGGTTGACGAATGCTCCATCACATAGGGATAGTAAGACAATGCGATGGTATTGAGCTCTGCTGCGCGCTCGAAGTGGCCCTCGTTGAATTGGAAATGGTTGCATGACAAGGCTCCCACGGCGTAAACCATGTGGACGAAGAATCCCTTCCATTGATTCCTGTTCTTATCGAGGCTCCATTCGTGTTGCCAGCTCTTCCAGGAATTCTGGTCCAGAAAGGGCCAGACCCAATGTGTGATCGAGAAATAGAGATCAGCATAGACTTCCTCGAGCCAGCCAGGGCAGCCAACAACAGAGGCAAGGGCAGGCAGAGCACCAATATCGGGCTGGGAGAAACCTTGAATTTCCGTTTGATCTGGATAGGCTTCGTAAGCTAGTCTCGATATGAGAGGGCCTTCTAGCCTTGAGGCCATAGGCTGAGAATCGGTCGACTGCGCAATGGCGATTTGAGGGCTTGTGACATGGAGAGTAAACCGATCCGTCGAAATCTCACCCGATGCCGACAAAGCGCTTTTTATTGTCGATGTTCCCGCAATACATGTCGTCACTGTCTCTTGGAGATATTCCGATGGCAAAGAATCCACCTCGCATGAATTATCAATTGAATTCGTTTGGACACCTGCATCTCGCATCTGTGTCGACTTCGTCCTCATTGCACTTTCAAGCTCATTGACTCTTGACTCCAGATACTTCAGATACTTGACTGGAATCGTTATGTCATCCCCGTCCCTGCAGGATCCAACGGGGAGGCATTCTGCGCCTCGGCGCGTACACTCTCCGCAAGTGGGCCTCGCATGGTCACATTTTCGCTTCAAGCGGAAGCATCGTGCGCAGGCTAGAGGTCTTTGGCGTTTAGACGTTGCACTCATAGGTCGAAACAACGGCCTTGCTATTCTATAGGCCGATGTTAATCTTCCAGCAAGCCCAAAACAATTGTTGGTGGGAACATAGGGAGATGGAAGATAAAGAAGCGGAACAAGTCCCACTTGAATATCGGCTGGAGCGGGGAACTGGATTCAGCGGGACTAGTGGAGACGAGAATCGAGTCAATCGACTGTATATTAAAATCTATGGATAATCTTGGAAAAGATACGAAGCGAAAGCATGCAACGAGAGAGGAGGCTCTCTGACTCGAAATAATGTATGTAGACCACTTGGATGATGCGAACCCGGTATGAGGCCGGTCCCTGTCTAGCATTGAACAAATTGCTGGAGATGATGAGTCTCAGGAGTTCATACTCATACAGAACACAGGCTGAGTATACAGATCTCCAAACGATGCCGCCATATAAAAGTCATCAGAGTCATCATTTCATCCAGCGTTGAGTCGACTTATCATATCCGATTACCTTCATGTCGATATTCAGCGTCTTCAGCATAATGTCCATCGTAAATTCCTGTGCAAATTGTTCGATTCCGCATTAGCATCCTCCTCGTCCAGTCAAAGCGACAACTCATCCAAACATACCTCATCTTCAGGTGTCTCCTTCCCAGCACCCACCTCCTGTTCCTTTCGGGGCATCTCAACTTCATCAAAGAGCTCAGCTTTCCGCTGCTCCAGTTCCCCTTCATCCGCTTCAAACCCTTCCGCTTCGGCATTGCCATACCACGAATTCATTTCCTCCTGTTCCCACCTGGCGCTGTCACTCTGCATCCGCTCTCTCCAAGCCTTCATACCCCCCATCCGAGAGACCCGCTCTCGAGCACCTTCGAAAACCTCTTCAGCAGCTTCCTGACTTACAGTCTTCCATTTGAGGATCAGAGCCTCGAGCTCGGCATCTTTCGTCGATGATTCAATTCGCAGGGCTTGCTGCACGGTATCGAGTTCAGAGCGGAGAGCAGACAGTCTGCATTGTAGAGCTCTTTGTTCCTTTTGAAGCTCCGAGATGACAGGATCCGCTAATATGCTCTTCTTCGATGGAGTTATCTGATTTGTAGTAGGTTTCCGCTTTTGATTTTGCAAACTTGGAAATGGCGAAGCGGGTGATGAGCTTGCGAGACGAGTTGGTTTAGAAGAGATGGGAGTCGACGGTGTAAGATGTTCCTGTGCATTTTTTCCATCTACAAGTTGTCCTTCAGCTTCGGTCTTGATGAAAGAATCGCTTGATGCCTTTTCCTTGTCCACGATGCCCTGCACTGGCTTGCGGAGAGGTGACTTGAACGGCTTCGAGAGTGAAGAAGCGGCATCTTCGATGCGACGTCGTTTTCCGTTCAGAGTGACAGAGGCCATTTTCAAGCTTTGGCATTAGACTTCTGTGTCGTATCACATCCTCATATACGGCTTGTCGATTCAAAAGAGATTCACTTTGGCTTGGGATCAATGGCAGAATGCACTCTTGTGTCGTCTTGAGAAATTGATCAAAAAGGTGCTTATCGATAAGAGCTGCTAGCCGATAAGATAACGTGATAACTGATATCTTCATGGTATTGATGGGTTATTGAAATCTACGAGGACTCTGCATGAAACTGGTGCTTAGAAGACTGTACAATTGGATGAACTCATGCATATGCTTCCCTTTATTAATGTCCAACACCACCGGCAACCCACTGAGCAAACTCCGGATCTCCAGGCTGGGGAAAAAGCCCCCGGTCATTTTGATTGTTCAGTGCCGCTGGGTTGGCACCTGGATCCTCGTTCGGCCTCTGCCTGTTTCGCTGCTGCCTCAAGTATACAAGTACAAGCAACGTGGCCGCCAACGTGACAATAATGAGGCCTTCCAGAACGCCCTCATCAATGTCGAGTTCGAGGTCATCATAGTAACCATCGTCGTGGCGGTGTTCATCAAGACGACGTGGGTCTGCATTCGAAGAAAGCATTTCATCTTCATCTTTCAACTGTGAGAGATAACTGGCCTCCTCCTCTTCGTCGTTCTCAATAAATGCTGCAATCCACTCTTTGAATGTTCGGCGAGGCTTTTGTTCTGCGATGTCGATCAGCATGTAAACGGGTATAAACTGTTAAATCATCTTAGATATCCTTACCTTCTTCCTCTCGAATGGAGTTGACCTTTCCATTCGTGATCTTGTTCCAATAACTGCGTATCCGCAGCTTTATCAGACTTAATTTCACAGGCAGATAAGCTTCTGCATTTGCTTCGAGCGCCAAGTCGTAGTATCTTTTGGCCATGTGGAAGTCTTGCTCCACGGCAACTCCATTCTCGTGCATCCAGCCGAGGTTCCAGTAGGCCTGCGCACTATAATGGGCTTCAGCGGCGGTATGATAGCAGGTAGAAGCTTTTTCAGGATCTGCTCCGATGCCCCTTCCGCTGAGATAATAGTCACCCATCTTGATGAGCGAGTCGATATTGGCCTGTTTGGCCGAACGTGTCCAGTAGATCAGCGCTAGAGCAGCATTTCGAAGCAGAGAAGGACGAGTCTTCTTAGCCCCAGGTAGAATAGAGTCGAGCGGCAACAATGAGCGCTGCTCATCGAGCAGGAATGCTACATTTGACTGAGCACTTTCGTAGCCCTGCTCTGCAGCCATCATGGCTGGGATCAAAGCTGCTTCTTTATCGCCATTCTCATACGCGGTGTTTGATTCGGCAAACGACGAGTGGATCGCTTCGGCACGCTCTGCGACCATCTTATAATACGATGCGGCCATGCCACAGTGCCGTTGCCGGCCGATGCCATTGTTCGACAATTCCGCCAGGTAATAGAAGGCTTCCATGGATCCCCAACGAGCAGCCAGCTCGAAATACCGTGTCGCCGTGGCGACATCTCCCTGATCCAGGAATAGAGCTCCAAGTCTGGTCTCCGAGGCTGGATAGTCCTGATCGGCAGCTGATTTGAAATACGATGCGGCCCTGAAGGCGTCCTGGGGCACGCCGTACCCGTGAAGGTACATGAGTCCGATCTCGTGCTGACAGAGCGAGTCGCCGTTGACCAGTCCCCGCTTAAACCAGGTAAGAGCGTTGTTGAAATTCTGCTCGACGCCTTCGCCGCGAAGATACATCAATCCAACGTGGCCGGCTGCTTTCGAAGCAAGTTTATCAATCCCCATGGGATGATTGGGATTGACTGACCCGTCCTTGTTCCAGTAACGTCTCGTTACCTGCTTGAAGTACTTCATTGCCTTTCGGAAATTCCGAGGCAAGCCTCGTGCCCCGTCGTAGTGTAGCTTCCCCAAGCTAAACGTGGCCTTGAGTTCCCCCTTACGAGACATCAGGTCCAGGTACTCTAGAACATCCTCCAAGCTAGCGTCGGTACCAGACTGGACCCCATCACGCTGTGCGTTAGGCCCTGAGCTTGAGACACTGGCACCCTCGCCGTAAACACCGCCCTCCTCGTCCGCCCACCGATATGCTTCACGAGCCATGCTGTGGCCACCGGGCGGCCCAGATCGAAACCACTGGATCGCCTTGTCCGCCACTTTCTTGTAGTAATACGTCGCTTGATCACAGTCTCTGGGAGTCCCGATACCAGCATGGTTGCGATACGCCAGCGTCATCTCCGACCTCGTGTTCCCTCCTTCCGCAGCAAACGTATGATACAACAATGCCTTCGCCTGGTCGCGTTCCACCCCGTCCCCGATGCCGGTGGCGTACATGAAACCGAGCATATATTGCGCTGTACTGTTTCCAGTCAAGGAAGCAAGGCTCTGATACCACTGGAAAGCGCGTTTGAAATCGCGCGGATGTGTAAAGTTGCCATAGAAGTTCATTTCCGCTAAGAGGAACATCGCATCGGGATTCTCATCCTCCTCGGCAGCCAGCTTGAGTTCTTTCACGGCTCTGACGACATTCGGATCGACTCTTCGCTTCTCAGTTGTCTCCGATTGAGGTACATTCATGAATAGGATGCGGAATACCTGTTGGGCGTAGTGCAGGGCGTATCCGACGAGGCCAGATGGCTTCTCAGATCGGACGGCGGAAATCTTTATTCCATGGAGGATTCTGAGGGCTTTTTCGACACGTTCTATGATGCAAATCATGTCAGTCGCCCTTCGATCATGTCCACAGATCGGCATCAATAGCTTCTTACCATGTCCGGGCCACATGTGAGACTCCTCAGCCTCGCCCGCAAATTGGCTTCCATGCTGATATGCTTCGGAAATCACATCTATTGATGTATGACTATTCTCTGACTGAACTTTCGATTCAACCACAAGCGCCTGCAGCAGCACTGAAAATTAATCGCTGATCGTCAGTATAAGAACCTCGGTGCCACCACCGCTGATGGAGTGGGATACTTACGGAGCGCCAGAGGCAGGAAACGCCATAGCCATAAGTTCTTCATGTTGCCTGGCAAAACTTGGTAGTATTTGGGAACAATAAGAGGCACATTGCGATTCCTCTTCTCACAATTGACTGGAAATCGATCCACCTCGCCAACAGTAGGAAATGTGGTCTCGATGACTCCGGGGAAGCTGGCCCGTCTTATTATGAGCTCACGCGGGAACGGGCCACCTGGCGTTGCGGAGCTTCATTTTGCCGATGGACATATCATCACATATGACATATGTCACGCCTGCAATATACGTATGTCATCTTGTCAAGATAATCATGCCCTGCGATGAAATTCCTACATTGCTCAATAACGTCTTCCTTTATGAAAAATCCTTTATTTATCCATTCCTTCTTTAATCCGTTTTAGGCTAGGCTGTGTACATGAAAAGAACAAGCAGCGGCAGTAATACAATCATTAACGACGTCTTCGAGGGGACCAAAGCATTCGCCAACTCGAAGCGATGATCCACAGACCATTCAGTTCTAAAGCCATCGTGGTATTTCAAGCTCCGAAGGGAAATGGAAGGGCAAAGAATGAGAACAACATGCATCGCCAGCCCAGAAGAATGTATCACAATTTCAGCAGGGTGGCTCGAATTATTGAAGAGGAAGAAAAACATTCAGGCTGAAACGTAAGGAAGAAAAAAAAAGGCATGCATTCGAGAGAGGCTGCTGGCGCCCATATTGAGGATGAAATAACCAACCAAGTCCGCGACATCAGATGCAAAATGTGTTCTTTTTTATGGATTGTTCGATAGAATTGGATGATGGTACAGAAGTAGAATGGAAGCCATAAAGAAGTACCTGAAGCACTTGCTAATCTCACTGGCGTGGAGACCTGTGAAGAATGTTAGTCAGATGCACAGGTATGAATCAAGTTAAGGACGAGGATACGTACGAAGGGCTGAAGGCCGGGGACGTAGGACTGTACCCAGGGGACGTGGGGCCTCCCGGAGACGTCGGCGATCCAGCAAAGTTAGGCGACGTAGGTGAGTACGTCTGCGGGCTCGTAGGAGACCAGCCAGGAGAAGTAGGCGTGTACTTAGGAGACGTAGGTGAAGTAGGTGATAGGTGTCGACCGGCGCCACCAATAGCAGGACTGGTCGGGCTGTAGCTAGGCGACGTGGGACTGAACGCAGGAGAAGCCGGGCTGAAGCTGGGTGACGTAGGGCTGTAGTTGGGCGATGTTGGTGAGAACCCTGGCGATGTGGGAGAGTAGGACGGAGACGTCGGGGATGCCTGTCCATATGCCGGCGACGTCGGTGAATAGGCGGGCGAGGTCGGAGCGAACGATGGGCTGGCAGGAGAGAAGCCAGGGGACGTCATGAAACGAGGGCTGGTAATGCCCATGCCAGGAGACGTAGGTGAATAGCTTGACGTTGGAGAGTACCCAGGAGACGTTGGATTGGCGCTGAACGGGCTGCTGGGTGAATAGCCCGCGGGGCTGGTAGCAGCGGGGCTGAAACCACCTCCAAAGCCACCCGTAGGTTGGTACTCTGTGAAGCCGCCAGGAGACTCGGCACCCGCCTGGCGAATAGGCGAGAATGCAGACTCTGGGTCGGGTGTACCGATGTACGCGCTCTCCTGCATGGGCGAACCAGTATCGTACTGTGTGGCAGCTCCATCGGAAATAATTGCATCCTTGGCCCCAATGGCTCCCATAACACCGAATCGTGCATTGTTCGACACAACAGTATTGAGGAGGTTCTGGTCAAGATAGAGGTCAAACTCTCCTGTACCGGCCGGTGCCATCTGTCCCAGGATCAGATTCTCTGACACACCGCGGCAGTCGTCGAGTTCTCCGAATGCTGCAGCTTCCAGCAGAATCTCCACCGTCTCTTCGAACGAACACCGCATGAGGGCACCGTTGTCAGCACGATTGATACCGTGGCGAGTGACCGGTGTCAGATAGCCTCGCACCGTCATGACGTCGACCAGGAGCGCCAGATGCCGGTGGTTGACATAGGAACCGTCGAAGGCAAGCACTTGCGTCAATTCCCGAAGCACAGCAGTACGGGCAGCTTCAATACCAAAGACCTCAAAGACCTCAATAAACTGGTTCGAGTACGTGCGAGTAGCGTCGACTCCAGGAACAGCCAGGACCTCACCAAGGGAAGAACCACTGGTTTCAAGAACCCATTCCTTGCAGAGCGGATCGGTCTTGCTTGCAAACAGGCTGCCATCCTCAAGAACACGAACTTTGCTCTTCTCGTTAATGAAAGCCCGTTCGACTCCTTGGACACCACGGAGAGTGAGAGTATCCAGAAGATGCTGCTCCAATTTCTTGAGAGTGACATCGTATTCAATGTCTTCGTCATCCTCGTCTTCCTTGTAATCCTGGATTTGACGGATACGGATAACCTGCTCATCGGCGTTGTTATCACTGAAAATAACCGCGATATCCTTGGGGTAAGCCTGCTTAATCCTGGCAGCAACATCTTGCACTGTAAGACCCTTATCAAGGAGCTTGGGCCGACTGAGAATAATACGAAGCAACCACTTGGACTGTCGAGAAGAGGCGTCTGTGACATCCTCCGGAATGATGAAGTAGGACTCGACCATATCCCTATCATTCTCAATGACCGTGGTCTGGATGTCCGGGTCGTAGTAGATCTCAGTGGCTTCTGTAACGGATCTCAGGCTGGTATGCTCAACAACGCTTCGCAACTGTTTAGCAGACTCCTTATCGTGACATTTGTGGGGCAGCTGGTAAACGGTCATAGATGGCGTCTTGATGTTGGTAGCAACGTTGAGAATTTCCTTGAGACGAGGAACACCAAGGGTGACGTTTTTCGACGAGACACCAGCAAAGTGGAAAGTGTTCAAGGTCATCTGTGTAGCGGGCTCACCAATAGACTGAGCGGCAAGCACACCAACCATTTCACCAGGGTTAGCACCAGCCTTAGCAAATCTGCTCTCGATAGCACCAATGACATGCTGGAAGGCGAGCTTGTTCATCGAGTACTCAGTGACAAGCCTGCGGAATGCAAGGCGACTGCGAAGCTGTGCCTTGAACAGCAGTGTAGCGTTCTCCTGCGCCTCGCGCGAGATCGGATCGTCGCCGCGCACAACTAACAAACGATCGAGCAGAGAGCGGACTTGAGGGATGACTTCAGCAGGATGCAAATCGCTGATGGCCCCTTCACGTATCCGGAATGTGCTCCTGGCAGTTTCAAGAATTCTCTGCACGTTGATAGGAAGCTGCATCATCTCATCATCTTCTTTTGCGACAGTGCGCAGGAATGCCCGGTCTTTGAGCAATTGCTCCCATTCCTCGTCTAGATATCTCTGGACTTCGACATCGCCGGCGATTTCATTGGCTTGTTCCAAGACTTCAGGTCCCAGGCTCCTCTCAGGATCCATGAGATCGACACGGAATCGTTCTCTGAACTTCTCATCAGAGCATCTGATGATGTCGACCCGCTGGTTTTCGATGTGAGCACCATCGAGACCGTCTTCTCCGTAGATAAATTGTATCACATCACCCAGAGAGTTTCTGACAGTGCCATCATACTTCACCATGACCTCTTCCAAAGCCTTGACCAGCTTTCGCTGAATATAACCAGTCTCAGCAGTCTTGACAGCAGTATCAATCAGACCTTCTCGACCAGCCATGGCATGGAAGAAGAATTCAGTTGGGGTTAGACCACGCAGATAAGAGTTTTCCACAAATCCGCGAGATTCCGGAGAGTAGTCATCCTTGGTGAAATGGGGAAGAGTACGATATTTGAATCCAAATGGAATACGCTTGCCTTCGACGGACTGCTGGCCCACAACAGCAGTCATCTGAGAGATATTGATCGTCGAACCCTTAGATCCAGACCGGGCCATCTGAATGGCGTTGTTGAGATCCTTCAAACTCTTTTCAGTCTCGCTACCAGCTTCGTCACGGGCATTGTTGAGCGCACGCGAAACCTTGCTCTCAAAGGTCTCTCGAACGTTCATACCAGGCAAGGGCTCCAAGGTATTCTCGGTGGCGCTTGCTGTGATAGCCTCAACTTCCTTCTTTCTCTCGCGCACACAATTCTCGATTCGTTGAATAGTGATAGCGTCCGGAATGGTGTCACCAATACCTATACTGAAACCATTGTGCAGCAGCCAGTAGTTGACAATGGTTTGTGCACCATTGAAGAAAGCCACTGCAGTATCCGGTCCGTACTCATTGAAGATTGTGTGAATGACACCACCACCGCTAGCACCAACAGTCTTCTTGGAGAACATTCCATACATCAACTGTCCGCCATGGATAAGCAAACCACCGTCTGTCAAAGGCGAGAACTTCTCTGCCAGAGCAGAGTTATCTTTCTCCACGCGCAACAGATTCAGACCAGATGGGAGAGCCATGCTTATCATCTGCTTTCCAGTCCATCTAGGTCTAGGCTTCAGGATGGCTGGTGGAGGGATAACTCCATCCCAGTCTGGAACCCACAACATGATGTTCATGACCTGTTCTTTGGTCAGGAAGACATCGCGTCGGCAAATCTTGTAAATACCGCAGAGAGTATCTTGCACAATACCCATAAGGGGACCGTTACGCTGGGGAGACACAATATTCATAGGAACCAAAGCGAGCTGCTTCAACTCCGCGCGAGACTCCTCACTCTGAGGAACGTGCAAGTTCATCTCGTCGCCATCGAAATCGGCGTTGTAAGGAGTGGTGACAGACAGGTTCAGTCGGAACGTCGAGTATGGCATCACACGGACACGGTGACCCATCATAGACTCCTTGTGAAGGGAGGGTTGACGATTGAACAGAATGACATCGCCATCCATAAGATGCCGCTCGACTTTCCAGCCATACAGCAGTTGTTGACCTCCAGCTCTTCGGGCATGGCGCAAGTCGATACGCTCCCCATTGTCTCGAACGATATACCTTGCTCCGGGGTGTTCGTTGGGGCCGTTGGCGACAAGCTGCTGCAGCTTCTCGATGTTGTACGGAGTGACGACTTCGGGGTAGGTCAGAGTTCGAGCAATACTCCTTGGTACACCGACCTCGTCAAGTGACAGGTTCGGATCACCAGTAATGACAGTACGAGCCGAGAAATCGACACGCTTGCCCATCAAATTCTGTCTCAGACGACCCTCCTTACCCTTCAGACGGCTTCGGATGGCCTTGACCGGTCGGTTCGACTTTTGCATGGCCTTCGGCTGACCGGCAATATCGTTGTCCATGTAGGTGGCGACATGGTACTGCAAAAGCGACTCGAACTCGCGTACGACGTGCTCAGGAGCGCCTTCCTGTTCGCATCGCTGGACGTTCTGATTCGCTCGGATAATCTCAGCCAACTTGTAAGTCAGATCATCCTCACCGCGCTGGCCGCTGGTGCTGCCACCGACAAGAACACTGGGACGGACAGGAGGAGGAGGGACAGGCAGAACGGTGATGATCATCCATTCAGGACGAGCATAGTCGTTACTCAAGCCCATGATGCGAACATCTTCGTGAGAAATGTTGCGGAAGACATTCAGGGCCATCTGAGGAGTAATGACCTTCTTTTCCGGCTGCTGCATTTCGTCCTCATCCATCATGCTCTTGTTGGGCTTCCATGTTCCAACCAAAGTGATACCCTCTTTACGAATGGTAGGCTGGGCGTTACCGCAACCACCATGCCTCCGGATAGGCTTGGAGCTCTCTTTCGAAAATGGCTCGTCCTCGTCTGGCGGGGGGTCTGCTTCACAGATGAACACATCCTTGGAGAGTCTCCAGATATGGTCGAAACGTCGCTTGGGATCTCTCATGCGTAGGGCTTCTAAGAATTTGCTGTCGGACTGGTTCTATGTCAGCATATCATGCCATGTAGGATTTGCCATCCCAATTAGGGATGACTAACCGTATCGGCTTTGATCTTGCCACAGTTGTGGCAGACAGTCTCAAGAAGTTTCTTGACTTTGGTCAAGAAACCTAGATGTATAGCGTTAGCTTCTCAGCCTGTGCAACAGATTCGAAGACAGCCAACGTACCGATGTGAAAGACTGGAGTCGCCAGCTCGATGTGTCCGAAGTGCCCAGGACACTCCTTTTGACCTTCTTCGCAGGTCTCACAGTTCCATTGCCGGTCGATCGTACCCAAGCGAGGATCGTTCAAACCCTTTGTCCGCGGCCGCATCCGTTGTTCGTCCTGTTTATCATTTCGCCTTGTCAGCCATCCCACACCACAAGCCCGAGTCAACAGAAGCCAAGTTGTACGAACCATCGTCTCTGGATACTCAACATGCACCACGCTCATCCTTTTGATCTCCTCTGGAGAGAAGAGTCCAAATTGGATCTCCTTGATAGTGCGCAAAGGCGCCTTGGAGTAGGGAAAGTAAACGTTCGACATGGTGGCGGTCGTCGGTTCAGGATGTGATACTCGAGGAAACGAAGCGGTTTAGCGATCAACGACACGAAGGTTCCTAGTCGCACAAAGTAAAATCAAGCAATACTAGAGCGTTAATAATCAAGCGTGCTCAAGCGACGATGAAAAAGTTTGCGAGCAGCTGGCCGGCTGAGGCCTTTGGCAGCCCTTGCCACGAGGGCGCCTGCGACCTGGTGTCCCCGAATCCGCGAAACTCGGGGGTAAAAGGGCGGGAAGAAGGATATCTCGATCGAGTACGGCGAGGCCAATAGCCCGATGAGAGACAGGTAGATGTCGCGATGCGAAACGCGATGATCTGGAGGGTTGAGGGATGGGCAAGCAGCGTGTCGAGATGATGAAAGGGAGATGGTTGGATGTCACTTCAGTTCGGATGGGGCACGAGTTTTCTTGAGCCGCAGCCAGACCACTAGCGCGGTGCCCGCTAAAAGTCAGCAGCGCTAAATCAAAGAAACTTGGCAGGTAGCAGAAAAATCAAAGAGTTCGATTATATCATCCAATAATGTTATGCACTGGATAGATCTTATGGGTCTCTGAAGATTATTTTTAATTGGCAACTGACCGCCCAGCGACGGCCCTCTCATATAACCATCCAACCAAAAGATTCATTCACTTCTTATCGCTACTTACTGACTGTGCTCGCGGATTACTAGCCACCAAGGGTGCTGGATGAATCCTTCACAATCATCCCTCCTGGCCTCCCTTCAGGCTGGGAAATTTTCTCCCCTTCACTGCAGTCATTCTATTCTCACCTGAAACCCCGCTGGTAAAACACAATGAATTTATCGCTTGTTGATCCTTTTGTCCTCGCCCAGGACTATCCCGACACCTTGACGGAAAAACTGAGTCCGTTGGCGCTCATTTCACTTTCTCAATGCGCCCTGGCTAACGAGCGACAGGAAGCGGGCACGCGACATGTTTGCGCTTCAACCGCAAAGGAGATTACCTTGCTTCAGGACGAGTGCGTACATACCTCTTCCTTTAGACCCCTCGACCTCGAATCCTCATTGACACCTTGTGTTCTAGGTGGACGGTACTGTGGTTATTTTTGATATAGAGACAAATGGAGTTGCGCGGAAACTCCGGGGTCATACCAGACAGATCCAATCTCTCAGGTGGGAATTAGTCCCCCGCGGAGTCGACTAAGAGAATGCCATGCTGATAAGAAGGAATAGCTGGTCTAGAGATGGACGATACCTCCTCAGCTCCTCCCAGGACTGGAAATGCATTTTATGGGACATGAAAGATGGTTCCCGCGTTCGCACTGTCCGATTTGAGGCGCCTGTGTACATTGCAGAATTACATCCTTTTAACCAGTGAGTGTCCCTTGCTCCTGCAGGGGTTAGAGTCCTGTCTAAAGCCAGTCCGATGGTCGCAGTTTACTATTCGTCGCTTCGCTCTTCGAAGACCAACCAGTCCTCGTGGATATTTCCTCCCCCAAACCAATCAAGCGAATACTCCCCTCCGCTCCATTTCGTCCTCCCCCATCCGCCTCGGAAGAAGTCGACCCAGCCGTGGCCGCCAAACAAGCCGCGCAAGATGCAAAGCACTCGACGTGCGTCACAATCTTCTCGGCATTTGGAAATCACATCATTGCAGGCACATCCAAGGGCTGGATCAACATCATCGAGACGCAGACATGCACGACCATCCACTCGACCCGGCTCTGTAACGGTGTGGTCATTCTCCTCCGTTTGGCAAGCAACGGCCGGGACTTGCTCATCAACAGTTCCGATCGCGTAATCCGCACCATCATCATGCCAGACCTGTCGCAACTAGGGATCGACCTCGAGCCCGCGAACATCAAACTACAAGTGGAACATAAATTTCAGGACGTGGTCAACCGACTAAGCTGGAACCACGTCACCTTCTCCTCTACCGGCGAGTTCGTCACCGCCTCCACCTTTATGAATCCGGACATCTACGTCTGGGAGCGAAGCCACGGCTCCCTCGTCAAGATCCTCGAGGGTCCCCGTGAAGAGCTCGGCGTTGTCGAATGGCACCCGTCGCGCCCCATGGTAGTCGCCTGTGGCCTAGAATCCGGCTGCATATATACGTGGTCCATCGTCACGCCACAGAAGTGGTCCGCCCTGGCGCCCGATTTCGGCGAAGTCGAAGAAAACGTCGAGTACATGGAACGCGAGGATGAATTCGACATCCACCCGGCGGAGGAAATCCACCAACGGCGTCTCGATCAGGAAGACGAAGTCCCCGATGTCCTCACTATCGAACCGATAAAGAGTGGCGCGGACGGTGAGGCGGAAGCTTTCCGCATGCCGGTTCTCCTGGACATCTCTGACAGCGAAAGTGAGGAGGACATAGTTGCCGTGGGGCCGGGGACGATGCGTCGCCGGAGTCCCGGTGCAGGTCGGGAGTGGATGAATCCCAATGGAGACGGAGACAAAGAAAGTAGCAAGCCCGGTACTGGTCGAGGTCAAAGGGGCCGACGGAAATAAGCTGATCTCCTCTGTATTATAATAAACATTCACGGTCATTTGCAGCAACTTTTGGGGGATCTGCAGAGTTTGATGAAAGCATTTTACGGTGGTTCATAGCCCACATATTATGACAGGAACTAAAGAATTGGGGTATTCCCCAGATCTTCCAAAAGGGTGGATTTGCGAAGGGTTCTGACCACAAGTTTAGGGCATGATTTGAGATCAAATCCAATGTATTGGCTGGGTGTCCTGTTTGGTATCAAGGCAGTTGCCTGTGCCGTGTCATCAACATCATTATAGTCAGTATTTTCTTCCAAGAATTTTATCTTCAAAAAGACCAAAGACGGGGAAAAGCAATAGCAAGAGGGATGTAATGCCGTCCAGACAATAAGGCAAGGTGATCTGGTATAAAGCCACCATAAACGGCAATGTCCTTCCCTACAGAACGCCAGGGACATGCTATGAAGTGGAGTGCAACTATCGCGACCCATCCAGCCAAAAGAGAAGGGTTTTGTCAATGCCTCCCCGCGAGATCCAATTCGCTCCTATCTTCTTCTGCCCAACCAGCACAAGAGTCCTCGTAAGACAAATTCCATGTCTCTGGTGTCACGATATACTCGAGCCAATTCCGATCATGACTCCCGCGGCATGGGTTGTGAATGTGGCGGCAACGAACTGCGATGTATATATTTCTTGACCGTATAGAAAGTCCTCGAAAGCCAACAATCAGGCTTTCTCACGGACGGGAAACGGGGTAAACCTTCGCTCCAGAAATTTCATGCGAGCTTCTAGGGGTTTCCGCGTGCGCATGAATCTGGTATCGAGCGGGGAAGGATGGCCGATCGTGGGATTTCGTGACCGAGATTCTAACGCTTGTGGGTTCGCCGGGCGTGTGCCGCATGGATCGCACGGGTGTCTGAGACGTTCGGTACAGTTTTGCAACAAGAAAAAAGCGAGTAGAAGGAGGAAGATCGCTTGTATCGGTTTTTTTTTTTAAAACGATGGGTGGTTCAATCCGAGCGCGAAGAACCACATTCATGGTGCAGTTTCGCCGCCACGATCTGAGAGGATGAAAGGACGAAAGCTTGATCTCGGTCAATTGGCCAGGGGCTTTCGAGCCTGGTATATATGTAGTATGTTGTAAGTATGGATCTCTTTATTGAAAGCCTCCGACTTGACGTCGGCTGATATTTGCTTGATTCGTTCCATGGGCCAACCGAACACCCGGCTGAAAGGGGCCAGGCTCATCGTCTCAATACTCTCGGAGATGGCTAGGTTATACCAACGAGCCACTCTTCTTTCATGCTCGTCCTGATGCCAAGGGTTGAGAGGGAGTCCAACCATTTGATGGTCTATTTCAGTAAATCCAGCCTCCTGCAGGTTTCGGATCGTTTCACGCGAACTGTGGGCGACCGGCCGCATGGTTTCCTCCGTGGCTTGTTTCAATAACTGGTACCATTGCCGAATCGCCAAGCCTTCCAAGGAGCGATCATCGCAACGGGGTTCGAAATCGATTTCCACCTGCTCAAACCAGGCACCGGGACGAAGATGGGAGTAAATCCTCCGATAGAGATTGGGCCAGCTTGCGACGCTGCCAGAGCCCATCTGCATGTGAATCAAATCCCACGAGTCCTCCCCAAGAGCCCAAAGGCTTTCAAAGTCGAATGGTGCATAAAAGTCGCAATTTTTCGGGTGATTGGGAGGCTGTATGGGGGCCAAATCTACCCCAACGACGAAAGCGTCCGGATACTTGTTGGCCACATCGATCGCCCAAATCCCTGTCCCACAGCCCAAATCGAGAAACCGGCCGTTGGTGGGATGCGGGGCATAGATCAGTCCGTCCGAGACTCTAGCCACGGTGAAAAGCTTGTGAAAGATGTCGAGACGATCCTGCTCCTGCTCGTCACACGGCAACATGTAGATTCCTTTGCGGTATCCATGATACGTTCGTCCGTTCTCCTGATAGCAAGGGTATCTGTCAGGATTCCTAAAGGGAGAAGAGAGGAAAAGCAAGGTTGTATATTAGTCACCCAATGGTAACAAAGTTGCAACATTAACAGCTTGACGGCAGTCAAAGGAGGGAAAATCAAGAATATCAGAGGACAAGGGAAAGAGTGATATACTTGCTACTGGTAGAGTTAATGCTTGGGGATCCATTGGCGTGCCAACGACCAGCGGCCGGGTCTCTCTCTGCAGCCGGACTTCGGTCTGTGATTGTATAGATATCCATAGCATCAGAGTTATTTCTTGAGCGGCTTAGGCCACTGAAATCTGTCGAAATAGATCCGCGAATGTTAAGTGGCGGGGAGGCCACCATCGGAGGTCGCTGTCCACCCTGCCCGTTGAGAAACATCAGGTCGAGGAGGTCCAATCGGGTTTGTGAGAAAAAAAAAAAAAAAAGAAAAGAAAAGAAAAGAAAAAGGAGAAACAGAAGGAGGATGTTGACGAGGAGGGAAAAGAAGGAAAACGCAATGTTGACAGAACCGGAATCAGTCGTTGTGAGGTATGTGGATAGAATATATGGTGGCT